GGGATTAACTGAAATGAAAGAGATTTTCTTGATTGGATCATCTGAAGCTGGAAGACACACCCTAAATGTGGGTGTTACCTTCTGATGGCAGCCCATATAAAAGGCCAAGGCAGAGGAGAACACCAGGCTTCTGCTGCTTGCCTCCTCTCTCACTGGTGAGTTTGTCTTGCTGCTTTAGACTGAAGACTAGCTGATCTTTTGGAATTTGTCAGACCTTCAGCACCAGATTGGGACTACTGAGACATCCAGTTTTGTGGGCTGAGCAACTACGGATTCTCAGCCTCTCCAGTGTGGTGCAGCCATCGTTGGACTACTCGGACTCTATCCTGTGAACTATGCTGATAAATCTCTATGCGTATATATTCATTCTGCTGGTTCTGTTTCTTTGGAGAACCCTGACTAATACAGATGCTAAAATAATAATAATAATCAGAAAGAGCCTTACTATCAAGGTTTCTATATATCTGTTAAGAAAATGACTAACAATTGCTTGTTTTGGCTTCTGTAAACTTACTTCTTGCTGCATTTATGAATTTCTTTAATGTGCTTGTTGGTATTTGGAGCTGGCTCTCCAACTCAGAGTCTTCAGATAGCATGGAGAGCACTGAAAATCCGTGGTGTAGACTATTTGAAACAATTATGGAGATAGACCCATTTGAATCTCCTAACTCACCTCTTGTGAGTTAGCTTCTGTGAGTTAGGTTCTGTTCTGTTAGGTTCTTGTGAGTTAGGTTCTCTTTCTTTGGAGAACCCTGACTAAAACAACTAGTGTTGTGCAAATGCCAACAGAGGTCAGAAGAGGGTGTCGGATCCCCTTGAACTGGAGTTATGGACAGTTGCTAACCACCATGTTGGGGCTGGGAACCAAACACAGTATCTCTGTGAGAACTGTCAGTGCTCTTAACCACTGAGTCTTCTCTCTAGCCCCCAAACACATTTTTGATATTACTTAACTAAATTTCCAGTTCTGTAATTTGCAGTTTTCTTCTTATATCAGTTTCCAGTGGATATATTCTAGGTTTTTAGCTGAAATTCAGAGGGACATACTTCTGATAATACCTATTGCCATTGTTACTGAAATCAATTAGTAAAAAATCAAAAGTTCAATAGCAGGGAGATTACTATGTTTTTCATTAAAAATGTTAACACTGTGCTGACTTTCTAGTTGGCTTAAAGGGCAGAAGTTAAGAGGTTGAAGGTCAGGAAAATATGATCATGGTTCTTCAAGAAGCTCCAGTTATCAATTGAGCTATTGAGCTGTTGATGGGACTAAGTGATCAGCATACAGATCACACATGCACACAAACATACATACATACATACATACATACATACATACATATATACACAAACATACATATATACTTGTGACACACACATATATATATTTGAGACAGGAGCTCACTGTGTAACACTAGGTGACTTGCAACTATCTATGTAGACCAGGCTGGCCTTCCATCTACCTCTGCCTTCTGAGTATTGGGCTTGATTAAAGGCAAATCCCATCATGTATACCTCAAACCACAATTTGTTTTTGGTGGTGCTGAGGACTGAACCCCAGGCCTTGTACATGCTAAGCAAATGCTCTATTACTGAGCTATGCCCCTAGCCCTACATAACACTTTTAAGGACAGCAATGTCTCTACTTTGTAGGAGTTGTTTCCAATTCACAGATGACAAAACCAGCACAGACATTTGTCCTTCTTGGAGTCTTGGATAAGGGGTGTTGAGATGCCTGTCTAGGTCTCCAGTGCTCTCAGTTTCCTATTTCCTCTCCACTGTGTGTCTCCTAAAATCATTCTTATTTGCAGAGATACTTGTTTTGGTTCCCAGAACCCACATGGTGGCTAATGAATGTGTGTAACTCCAGTTCCAGGGGATCTGAGCCCTCTTCTGACCTCTGCAGGAATTTTATGACACTGGTGCACTTACAAACATGCAGACAAAACACACATACACAAAAAATAAGAGGACAAGATCTGTGTAAATTAGGTTCAAAAAGGCAACTTGCTCTGCTCTGAATTTCTAGAAAGCTTTGTGGAGAACTGGAAACTACCTCAGTCTTTGAATGAGGCAGCGTAAGTATAGAAACGACTTCCCTAAAACACCTTCCCAAAGAGTGAAGCATACTATAGAGAAAAGGTTCACAAGACTTTAATGAAATAGAATGATTCACTTCAGGTGGGCACACTGGAAAAGAACAAAGAACCAGGTACCTCAAGTGTTTGTCTGATGAGGTTTTGATTGAGGTGAGCATGAAATCAGTGTTCTGTCCAAGTGACCCATGCCTTGGTTGTGAAAATTGGGCTTCACCTCAGACCAACTAAGAAATAATTAATCACATTCTCTTACTGTTAGTTTTTACTTTGCAGTCTTTTAAAAGCTATTCTGTGTGTTTCCAGTCTCAGAAAGGGTCTTTGAGACAGGAGAGAGCTGATCAGCTTTAATTACTTTATAGTTTATAGCCAAGCTTTTGTTAGCTTTGGGCCAGGAAGGAATGGCTAATTGCATTTTTACTGTCATCAGTTTACCCTTTAGCTTTGTGGTCAGTTTAAAGCCCCAAGGTACTTTTTGGCTTAATTCTAGCTAAGCATGGTAAGCAGTTTGAGGATTATTTGTGGAAATGTTAGCATTTGAAAGTTTGAAGCTGTCTTTCCAAGAATCTGCACCTTTTTCCAACTCCTGACTTCCTTGCCTATACTAACATAACAGTCTCTAGCTTCTAAAGGATGGAATAAGGGAGACAGATATGAAGACCATAGCAACAGCAGTCAGGATGCTTCACATGTGTGCACTGGCATGCAGGTGTTATAGGACCTGGAAAGAGAGGAGATTGACCTGTAGGGCAGTTTTCTATACTGGTGAATGTTATCAAAGGTCCTTAGCAAAGTCAAACAATGCTTAGAGGATGAGATAGCAAGGAAGCCTAGGAACTATGGAGATACAGTGACAATACCAGAACAAACATGCCAAGGCAGGATGTTTTCATCCAAAGTTCTGGAACACTGATAAAAGGGCAGAGGAATGGGTAAACAACAGTGCAATAGGCAACATGGTGAGTTGATTGAAGAGCAAAACAGGCAGAGTAGGAGCTTGCTCAGTGAGGCAATGTAAGTAAGAGCTGGATAGTGGCAAGAATGAATGTCACCAGACCATGTTCTTGGAAATACACGTGCACACTATCTCCATAAACGTAAATCCCACAAATGTAAATAGTCTGTTATTTCTAGTTGTACCTTTTGTGACTTTAAAGTCTAGTCTGAGTTGCTTTTTCCTGGCTTCTCAAAACCTTTGCCTTACTGAGGTGTGAAAAATTGTTTTCCAAAGACAGTAGCCTCAGAGAGGCTTGGATTTTTCTAGAAAGTTAATGGGACTGAAGGTCACATATTTGTCCAAAATGGACCTTTATATGTTCATATTTTAAAATTATTATGGTAAGCATATTTTCAATAGGAGAAATGATATTGTCAAAATGAGCAGCACAATAGCACAATATGCTGTTTCCCCCCCAACACACTTTTTTGTTGATTTTGAGACAGAGTCTCACTATGAAGCCCTGGCTAGTCTGGAACTCACTATGTAGACCAGGCTGGCCTTGAACTCACAGAGATTTGCCTGCTTCTACCTCCAGAGTGCAGGGATAAAAGACATTTGCCACCATGCCTGACTTGGTCTACTTTTCTCACGTTGGTGGAAACTCCATTGCCAGCCATGGTACAGAGAAGCTCCCAGGTGACAACAGCCTGAGTGAGAGAAAGATGCCCCAAAATGACACACTTTCTAGTGGTCTGACTGAGAAAAACACAGAAATACCATGCTATCACCGGAAAGGTCTGAGTGAGATAGTAGCACTCATATAGAGTACTGGTTGAACACCCAGTGCTTCCCAACTTCTAAAGGGAAAGAACTCCTCCCCTGTCCAGTCAGCAGTCGTGCAGGACTACTTCGGAAACACAAGTAATGCATGACTGATAAATACCATTATTTACCATTTCTTCCCCATACAGTGCATCTTGCATGAGAGTCAGGGGTCTGTGAGCTCTCGGCCCTGACAGGGCTGGAGAAAGCAGAGTTTCTTACGAAGCTTCAAAGTTCATCTGTCAGTTCATCATACAATGAAACACCAATGTTAAGTGAAGAATTATGTGTGTTATGTGTGCACATGAGCATGCTTTGTGTGTGTGTGTGTGTGTGTGTGTGTGTGTGTATGTATACATATAAGCACACATGTGGAAGCCAGAGGAGGATGTCAGATGTCCTCTTCCATCACTCTCCGTCTTAGTCCACTAAGACAGGGTCACTGAACCTGGCACTTGCTTTTTTTCAATATATGCTGTGGCTGTATAGTAATTTCCTCTGAATTGAAACTTTTTATTCTGAAGGGAGCTTAATTAAGACTCAGAAATAATCAGTTCACAAGTATAACACAGTCCCTGAAACTTACCAGATTCACAAGGCCCCTCCCTCCTCACAGTTATAGGGGCAGCAGGGACCGCTGAAGAGATCCTGCCACTCACTGAGCTGCTTGCACCTCAAAGAATGCAGCAATCCTGGGTCAGCTCCCAAGCTGGGGTGGGTTTTTGGTGATGGCACTGGCTATGAGTTATCCATGTTTCTGTCACTAACCCCTCATCCATATTCCTGTAGCTACCAATAAACTCATTGGTTCATCAACTTGTATTTTGGTAAAATAATTACTTGGTCTGATATCAGTTCCCTATCTAGGGTGAATAGACATTTATGCTACATCTCCCCAAGAAAGGTATCCACACAACACAGTGGATGATCACCAAGTCCCAGCTTCCCCTAACCCCCAGTGCTGGGGCTACAGGTGTGTAAGGTAATAGTTGGCCATTTATATGGGTAGTAGGGAGGTGAATTTGGGTCTTCATGCCTGTGTGGCAAAAACTCTTACTCAACTGAGACATCTCCCCATTTCAAAGTGAAGAATTTAAAAAGCTCTTGAAAACTACCTGGTGAGTCTACTGTATTTTATAAACTTTGTATTTTTCTCTTTTTGGTCATGGAAAGGTCTATTGGTACAAACAACACAGCCACAAAGTATTCTTTTGATTTTAATAACTCATCTTATATATTTATAATATTTATATTTCTTCTTATCTTCATTTCCTCAGCAAAAGGGAAATAAAAATATTGATCTATAAAATAAGCAGATGATAACACAATGCCAAAAATAGCTTATGTTAAGTGCAAGGGGTGAAGCTTGAAAGCAAGCTAAATCGCAACAACATATTGATTCAACATTTAAATACAAGACTTGCAATAAAATAATTATTGAGATATGCTTCTTACTTTTAGTTGCCATTTTAAAAACTACTCTCTATACACATATCCAGTTGTAACACTTGACAGTAGCGTTATGGAGAGTGATATAACTTTGGTACACACTGCAGATATGGACAGTGAATGTAAATGAGATTCCCTTACCAGATGAGGCTCTACACAACCAGGTGACCAGCCACCTGATCTCACATAGCTTCCCCACACTGTTAACCCCCTGCCCTCCCAATCCCCAGAGTCCTTCCCAGAGATATCCAGGACAGCAGAGAAAGGCTCACTGGATCCATATTGTGTTTCCTCTCTCGGTTCTCCTGGGTTCCACTGTCAGATCTCCAAATGTGGAGAAAAACTGCTCCATTTCTTTCTGCAGCATGTCGTTCCTTTTCTCGGCATCTTCTTTTGCTCGCTCGGCATTCCTCATTTTGATTTCTATCATGGTGAACTTTTTTCTTTCTTGATCCAGTTCATCATGGAGGCTCATCATTTCTGTTTCCAAAGTCAAATTTCGCTGTTCTAAGCTACAGAGAATGGAAGGAAGGAATAAGAGACATTTATTTATTTGAAATGCCAGAGAAGACGAGATCTATTTTCCAAACTGTATGCAGTGCTCAGGAAATCTCAATGAGCTCATCCAAGTCATCGAAGCTAGGCCTAAAGATGGAAAAGGTTTAACTTGGTGGTGTTGATTTACTATTTGCTGCTGTGCTTTAGGATGTTGGTAATAAGTCCCCAGGACATCTCTTGAATGTGCTTGTCACTTCAGAGTGAATGCGTGAGGTCAGCATGCACAATCCAGAGACTCAAGACCTGTAGCACAGAAGGGGCAGAGGCAGGAGGCAGCCAAAGTCAGAAAGTCTCCTGCACACTGTGGGAAGCTTGGTTTACAGAACAAATGGAAAAAAGACAGATCATGTTGATAGGAAAGGAAGACATTTTATTTCATTCTATCAAAGAGAAAACACTAAGCAATAGTCATTGCTAGGCTAAGTCCCTGTTAAGAATTGACCTTTGAGAGTATACAGTCCCATCTTATAAAAAAGCAGCCTGTTTATGTTAACTTGAAAAGAAAGAATGGCAGGAGTGAAATTAGTAGCACATCTCTACTTTTTAAACACAGTGGCCATCCATGCAGTAAGCTCTCATCAATTTTCGCTATTGTCCAAATATTGGCATATTGTAGAATGTAGACATTTTGTGTAAGTTGAAAACTATGTTTTTTGATTCCTGTAGAATTTAAGGTAGCTTCTTTAAAAAATTATTTTTCTTTATAACCTAAGACAGATACATGTGTGTATATTGTTTTGTGTATGTGTGAGCACAGGCACATACCTTAGTATGTATGTATATGTATGTATGTGTATTTCAAAAGAGGAGAATTAAGAACTTTCCTTAATGAGATGTATTTTAGTAACAATTGATTTGTACAATGCTCCTCTTAGGAGTTAAAGTCACATGGGGCTCACTCAAGTTTATCAGATCACTAGAACTTAAAAGGCTAATGTGAGTATAGCCTGCAAAAATTGGATTATCTTAATAGCAATTTAAAATTTAAAATCTCAGTTATTGTTCTGTTTTAAAAAAGACAAATCTCGTATGTAATTTGTATATTTAATCCAGAAAATGCGAAAAGTTAAAATGAATCTAACTTCTCTTTATAACTAAGTAGATAAATACTTCTATTTTGCAATAGCTATGAAGGTTATTTTCAGCATATGGCCACATTTTAATTTAAGAAGCTGATACTATGATGGTAGTCACTCAGAATCACAATATAATATATTCTCTCTGATGCATTATTTTAGGATTGAATATGTTAGAAAAAAGTTGAAATTTAAATAAAGATAACCCTTGCAAAAACAAAAAACAAACAAAAAACAACAACAAAAACATATGAACACACTGCATGTATCAGAAGCACCTGTGTAAAACTTCCAGGAATCCTAAGGGCTTGGCTAAAAATAAAAGGAATCACCTTAATACAAACACATAAAAATTCTGGTTAATTTTGTAAATATTTCATAAATGCTTTGTCAAGGTCAAAATTTAAAAATTATATGTCCAGATACCAGAATCAAGAAATAGTTTCTGGATAAGACAGTAAAGGTAAGCAAACAGGGGTATTAGTTCTGCACAACAGTCCTAAAGGATGAAAAAGTTTTCTTTTTTACCTGGGGACAGGAGATGAGGCTCTGATAGAGCAGAGACCAAGATGTGCTAATGGAGTCAACTGAGATCTTGAAGCACAAATTGTCTTTGCAAAGAAGGAAATGAAAACATCCACTAATGAATATGTGCAACTGACAGGCTTAAATCTGCAGAAAAGAGAATTAGTGTCCCAAAAAAGTGACCCAGAAGATTCAGAGTACCTCACAGACAGTCAACTAGAGCAATTTAATGCAAGAAACAAGAGTTAAGAGCGGTAGATGGAGGACAGCTTCAGAATGCTCTGAACACCTTTGTAAGGTTCTGCATAGACGACACTGAGAAGATGGGGAGATGAAATGCGCACAGAGGTGATGAATGAAATGGGCCTTAATAGAAAGAGGTGAGGCCTCAGATCAAATAACAAAACATATATTTTTAAAGTTAAAGAATGGAAAGAAACACATGAGAAGTTTTTAAGGAAAAAACATGCCACAGCAAAAATGGATATCAGAAAAACAGACTTGAGGGTAAAAATCCTTATTGTAAAAATGACAGTTACTTAATGGTTAAAAGCTTGACTCAACAGGGACAAAAATGATTCTGAACATTTATTCACCTAGGAAAAACTCTAAAGAGCCTTAAATTCTTCAACATAAAATATAGTAGGATTGTTAGGATAAACTTATAATCCCATAATAATATTAGGAGGCTTTCTCAGAAATTCTATATAGGAGAAAAAAATGAGGGAAATATAAATGTCAACAGCTTGATTAACAGCCAAGATGCATTTGTTATATATAGTATCCCTCTGTAATGGCAATAGTTCATCAAACTAAATAACTGATATCACGCAAATGAATTTCTTTGAGTGCAGTTCAATATTTTCTTTTTAAAATTATTTTATTTTTTTATGTGTATGAGTGTATTGCCTGTATGTGCGTAAGTTGCACCTGTATTGTTCAGTGTCCATGGACATTAGAAGACAGTGTTGATTCTCCTAGAACTGGAGTTAAGGATGGTTGTTAGCCTCCATGTGGGTGCTGGGAATCAAACCCAGGTCCTCTGCTAGAGCAACCAGTGCTCTTAACTGCTGAGCCACCTCTCCAGCTCCTGTTCAATATTTTCTAAGAAAATAAAGATGAAAACCAATGGGAAGGGTTAGGGAAAAAACAGGAAACTCATGTGTTTGTAAACTAGAAACCATATGTCTGACTGGTTTATAATTAAACAAAGTGAAATATTCTCTTATGTCTGCTTATCTGTTCCTAATAATTGGTACGGAGGAGTTAAAGAGGAGTTTAAAAAATGTACAGTTCTATACAGGAATGATTGAAAATTGACGAGAGCACTGATCTCCTATAACATGCCTTGGGCATGCAGTGGCCGTCACTTTACCCTCTCTTATGGTGTGCCAGTGGGAGAGAAAGTCCAGTGGTATGGATCATTGAATGACACTTCCAGAAAGGTCAGCTATTTCATCAAACTGAAATGCATTAGCGATCTCAGAACATGTGTCACTGAGTTCCTAGTAATGAATGCAACCATCTACATCTTCAGATTGATAGCTTTCTTCTGCTCCTAATTCATTTAAAGTGTTATCCCTCCCCTTGAAAGATAAGCATCCCAATGGTAAGTGCTGGCCATACTGCAGAATTCCAGTAGCCAATGGTTCCAAAAACTGCATTTGGAAAGAAGAGTAACCTTATGAGATGACAGTCTTGTTCTTTTCCTTATTTGAACTATCTTTTACCCAGTACTATGCAGAAAATCCAAAGCTCATCTTCATTCAATGAAGCTTAAAAAAAGATTCTGCAATGGGAAATAACATTTGAATCCTCTAAGCAGTACTTTAATTTGCTGCAGATGCTTCTTCAAGTGTGTTATCTTTTGGTCTGGTAATTGATAAATGGCTGGGAAACACATTAAAATATGTTTTAATTGATTTATTTGGAACAACTGTATGGTCTTAAACACCCAAAAAGAAAGTATAACCAAAGAGTAAAATCATCAGCATATTTCTTTAAGAGTTCAAGGGATTGCACTTCCCAGTCATTAGGTTTAAGTCTATATAAAAAGTTATTTACACAATTATTTCTCATTGATGATTTTGTTCCTAACCAGAAAGTGCTGCTCAGATGTAAGACTTCAAATCTTGGTCTCCAATACTGTAGTGCCCACCTGTAGCTAAGGGAGACAA